TGGTGGCCAAAGGATGTACACAAGCCGAGGGTCTTGATTACCAAGATACATTTGCTCTTGTGGCAAAAAAATGACAATAGTTAGGACTCTTTTGGTCGTAACATACTGCAAAAGGATGGATTCTAGCTCAATTGGATGTTAATAATGCTTTTTTGTATGAAAATTTGAATGAGAAGGTCTATATGAACTTGGCTATATGTTTTGTCATAATAAGGTTAGGAAGATAACATGTTTGTAGGTTGGTGAAGTCCTTGTATGGACTCAAATAGGCTTCTTGATAGTGGTTCTCCAAAGTTTCATCCACTTTGATTTTAACGAGTTTTACTCAATCTCAATGTGAACATTCTTTGTTCATTCGGATTGATGGAAGTCGATTCATTGCCTTGCTAGTTTATGTTGATGATGTGGTGATAACGAAACCGACAAAGAGATTATTGACAGTTTGAAAAGGATGTTGGATTAAAAATTCAAAATCAAAGATCTAGGAGATTTGAAATACTTCTTGAGTATTGAAGTTCTTCGAATCAAGGATGGGGTCTAAATCAATCAATACAAATATGCTCAAGATATTATTGCGGATATAGGTCTTTTAGGAGAAAAACCAAGCTCCATACAAATGGAATAAAATCACATACTTAATGCATATGAGGGAGAGGACTTGGTTGATCCATTGGTGTAGAAAAGGTCGATAGGTAGATTGATCTACGTCATTGTTTCCGGACTCGATATGACTTATCCGAGTACACATATTAAGTCGGTTCATGTCACACCCTCACCTTCCTCACATAAAGATGGCTTACTAGGTTCTAAAATATGTCAAAGGCATTTTGGGATAGGGTCCGTTTTTTCCAAGTAGGTTAGGAATTGCGTTTGATGACTTTTCGTGATGCCGATTGCGTTACTTGTCCTATGAATAGACGATCCCTCACTCGGATATTATATCAAACTAAGAGAAGCTCTTATTTCATGAAAGACTAAGAAACGACGACACTATCTCTAAGTCTTCAACGGAATCCGAGTACGAGGCAATGGCTTCGGCTTGTTATGAACTCGACATGGGATTTGAATTTGTTAAACGATTTATAGGTTGTCGACTTGACTTTAGTACCTTCGGATTGTGACAACTAGGCAGCTCCGCACATTGCTTCTAACCTAGTTTATCATGAACACATAAAGCATATTGAGCTTGACTGCCATCCGATTCGAGAGAAGCTACAAATAGGGATGATTGTTCGTTATTACCTTTTTACTAAGCTCTAGGTTGTAGACTTGTTTACTAAAGCTCTTGGCAAATCTTAGCTATAATTTTTCCTTGGCAAGTTGAGTATTTATCACTTGTTACAAATTTCCACTTGAGGGGGATGTTGAAATATACATAGGGTGGCAACTTGTGAATGTGTAGAAAGTGATGGTTAGTTACCGAATTAGTTAGTACGGTTAATTTAAGTTTGTTAATGGAATAATTAGCTATTAAGGGAGTTAGTTAGCTATCAAATATGAGTATAAAATGCTCACTCTCTCCTTTAGCTTTAGTGAAATGAACTACAGTAAATTTGAGGATTTTTCCTCTGAATAATCAAGAGACGTCTACCCAAATCTTCTTCTTGTTTGTTTCCGCCTACAATCCCTAATATCTGAAATTTCACAGTAAATAACATAATTATTTACTCATAAAATTTATGGAATAAAAATAACTCGAAAAGGAAACGTTATATTCCCACACTTTAGTAGTGGGATACCGCAATCCACACCACATGCAATTATACTGATGCGTCGCTAATTGCATGCAATTTGGGGCCAGAGGTCTTACTACATCACAACATGGCATATTTATGTATATTAATCACGTATTCCTCCCTTTCTCATTCTGCATGATACTTTGGTATTTAACTCTTCTTTTCCTCTTTTCAACCACGCAATCCACCTTTGAAAAAAAAAATTAATCACTACCAGACAAATGACATCCCAAGCACCTCGCTAGATCCTGCCACGTGATCACCAATGGTCATCCATGGTGGAAACGGAAACTTACGTGCCACAATCTGCAAGCAAACAGAGTCCTTAATTCATCGAGTAGAAAAATTAATAATAAAATATTAGTTAAATTTTAATTAATTTATTTACCCGTCATAAAGCTAGCAGTTTCTGATTCTCATGCAAGGAAATTAGAAAAATCTCCTAGAGCGGGAGAGTGAGAGTGAGAGAGACGACGTTTAAGAAGATTCATCCGATCATCACAGTCGTTGATTCTCTGGTTTCGATTTCGAACCCCGATCATACGTCTAATCAACGACGGTGCCTCTCCGTCTATCTTCGATGAGTTTTTTCTTCGATTTTGCACTTCTGATGCTCTCGCTTTCTCTTTGTTTATCTAGGAAGAAAATCCGGTAAAGAAAGAGAAAATTCAGTCTCTACTTCTCACGAAAATCTGGAAAGTTACAAAAAGTTTTTTGTAAAAAAAATGCAAGGCCGTTTGTTATGTTCGTCACCTTTCTGTTACTTAAATTAGATTTTTTTTATTTAATTTAATTTGGTTTATATAATTTTATTATTATTAGTGGGATTGGAGTGCACAACACGTAATATTTTTTGAGTGAGAAAATTGAATTGTTAATAATTTTATAATTTGACTAAAATTTATTTCTTTTTAGGATTTTAAATCTTTGCCTAAGAGTGAAATTTAGTTGGCAGCGGTAGAATTATTGTTGCTGGTTAATTAGTGTATTTCTTAATATTAAAAAACAAAAAAAAAAAAAAAAAAAGAGAGAGAGAAATAAAGGGCTTGGCATGATATGGTGGTGAGGATTTGAACAAACATGTTTTTTTTTCTTTCTTTTTTAATTTGAAGTTTGATAAACATGTTGGGAAAATTACATTTGCACCATTTGGATTTGCTGTAATTACAGAGAAGAGTGGTAGTGGCACTCATGGTGTTGTGAGTGTTAAATCTCAGTCAGCTGTGTAAAGATTAACATATTGACATAATATCATATGTATCACAATCACTTTCAGATTTCATGCTCGCAGGTAGGGATGGCAGTGTACAAGGTACAAAATGGGCACCCTACCTAACTCGTTCATTAATTATCCTTTTAAAATAATTTAATGGGTAATTGGTTAAATATAAGTAAAATAGTATTATCTATTTATGTTAATGAATAATTTATTTATAAATATGGTTACCTTCTTTTTATCCTACTAATATCTATCTTTTACTCATTAATATAAAAAGTACTAAAACATAAAATTTTAAAATAAAAAAAAGAGAGAAAAAAGTATGTAATCATTCGGATGGTTTCATTGATATTATTATTATTATTATTTAATATTAAAAAACAAATAGAATTTTTAAGGCATTTATGTAATTAACTACGGTTTCGTTGATATTATTATTATTATTTATCATTTAGTTTAACATTTATTCAAACAATCATACATGTAATTTGACTATCGTATCTCTCTATTTTATTATTATTATAATTATAATTTGTGAATTATTCTTCGCAAATCTCATTATTAATATTACTCTTAACATGGATTAGTAGCCTACTTTTTTTCCTTATTGGTCAAGTCAATCTAAACATTATCGTGGATAATATTTATTCACAACTCAATTATTAGATTTTGGACATTATTATCACGGTAATATTATTGTCGTACTTGAGATTTTTTGATATTATTTACACCTGGCGGTCAATATATTCAGTTACTTAATTAATTATACGTAAATAATAATAATAATAATAATAAATAAATAAATAAATAAATAAAGTGATGTTATTAACCGATTTATCTCCTTCCAAATGATTCGAGGTCATGAAACATATCAAAAAAGTCAAAGAGTTTTGTTTGTTGTTTTGCTTCATTTTTCAATCTCAAGTGTGCTTTGATGCTTTTTTCTCCCATATGCAAAAGCTTTTGGATTTATTTTGGTTCACGTGAACATCTTAGAGCAAATTTCAAGTTTAATTGTTGTGGTGCCTTTTTGGATTTATAAGAAAAATAAGAGTCAATGGCCTCGGAAAAAACCACTACGAGTTTTTTTTATCTTTCTCAATTAAGAAAAAAACTTCGTATAAAAAATAAAAAATAAATTAAATAATGGTTTATAAGATAGTCCAACTCGTAAATCTTAATTTACTTTAACAATCACTTCATATTAATTAACTTCATCATTTCGGTTAAAAATATTCAATAAAAAATTGAAAAAAAAAATTAGTGGGTAAATGGGTATGGAGAGAGTATGGGCAAGGTATGATATAATGGATATGGGCGGTGGTAAAAGAATGGATAAATAATTTTTAGTGGATAATGGATAGGGTAATGAGTATAGTATTTTTTAATGGGTAGGGTGAGAGATTGGCTCAATGGGTCGGGTACCCGCCCATTGCCATCCCTACTCACAAGTGTCATTAACATGTCTCAAACATTAACACTTGGTCTTGTTCCTTCAACTACTATGCTCATTAGGAGAAATTTTGCATTCTCTTATTTTAAATTTTGAGGCTAGTTAGCATGATTCATCATGTTATCTCCGGTTGAAGGGTGACTAATTACATTAAATTTCAACGATGGCCAAACGTAATTGATCCTTGTTCTTTTGGTAAACTTTATGATTATAACTTAGAGGATGTGAATGTCAGCATGGATCAATATTTAGGAAGACCTTGTGACCATTAACTACATCCCACATGCAATTTTCTTTTTCTTATTTGTTCATAAAGTGTTCTATTGCGAGCCAATCTGGCTTCGATTTTTGTCTAGATGAAGAGCGGAATATTGCAAAGATCGTTTAATTTACATTGTTCTTATTTTTTATTTCACTCGTCAGCTTTATTAATTTTTAATCATTCCGATTAGTATTTTTCCCTTTTGTTTAGCCAATATTATCGGATGGCTTCTCCAATGTAGCAGTTCCACCAAGTCTTCCTTTTACCATCAACCGGTCCAATGTGATAACTACATGAGCACTTTGAATTCAACTCGTCTTGATTATGGTTATGCATGGAACAAAATTCGCCCCACATTCATTGTTAGCATTTCGGATTGGTGTCCGCTCGAGAGAGAAGCTCCGTCGCCGCCATCTCTCGCTCGGCTTTGAATTTTACAGTTTCTCCTCTTCATTCCATGTGTCCCGATCCGGACCATCCCGTACATATAAATATGGCAAGCTTGTAACTTTTGAAGGGCCCCTTATAGGCGAGTGTTGTGGGAATAAAAGAATGGAAAGAAAGCCTTCTTTTAGGAGGCGTGTATTTGTTCGGACCGAAACCGGCATTGTTTTGGGTATGGAATTAGATAGGAGTGACAATGCTCATACCGTTAAGAGGAAATTACGAGCTTGCCCTCAATGTCCCAACCGAAGAGAGGTCATTGATATTCGGGGATAAGGTGTTAAAAAATGACCTTAGTGTAGTTAGAAATGATTCTCCACTTCTTCTTACAAAAAATTCTATGCATAGAAGCTCATCAACACCATGTCTCTCACCCTCCGGAAAGGAGCTTCAACAGAGTGACCGAGTGGCTCGATTGAGATATTAGGATGTTCAAAGCACTTTGCCAAAGTAAAAGAAATGGTGCATGATATTGTGAAGGCAATAAGGATTGGGGTTGATCCAATTCCTATTCATAGTGGCCTAGGTGGTGCGTATTATTTCAAGAATTACAATGCTGAAAATATTGCTATTATGTAGCCCACGTACAAGGAACCTTATCGTTACGCTCCGCCTAAAAGAGGGATTTTTCTAGAGATTCTAAAGAACACTAGATAAGTCTAGAAGCTTCTAGAAGAGTATGGAACAATGGAGAAGCCTCTAGATAAGTCTAGGAGCTTCTGAAGAATATGGAGCAAAGGAGAAGCCTCTAGATAAAGCTCGAAGCTTCTGAAGAATATGGAGCATTGGAGAAGTCTCTAAGATGATCTAGAGAATTCTAGAAAGTCCCTTACTAATCTAGCATGTGTATATTTAGATAGTTCCTTGTAAATATCTAGATAGGATATTTCTAGAGAACCAATTGTAACCATTAGATTAAATAGATCTTTGCCATCCATTGAGGAGGTGGAAGGCTATAAATAGGTGAGGCCCTCACTTGGCCAAGACACCTAGACATTCATAAACTTGAGGAGTGTGTCTTTAGAGTTGTAAGCTTTTAGAAAGCAATACAAAGAGTATTTATATCTCTTGTGTGTGTCTTTCTTGCTTAGCAACTTTGTATGAGGAAGACCGACTTGGTTTATCTTTGAGAAGAAGAGAGCCAAGTGCATCACGTGAGCTTGGGAAAGGCCAAGTCCGTGACATTACGCCCCTAACAATCCAAAAGGTTTTGTTGGAAAAGTTTTAGGGCGGCCGAGTCACAAGCATTCGGTGCATGTTGGAGAGACCGGATTCGGCAGAAGCGGCAAGATACCTTCCGACTATGATCACTTTGCCAAAGTGCCCTCAACTCGCCCTTATGAAGGTCACACACTTGAATTTCAATGTTAATGATGGTGTTAACGTAAATAAACATCAACATAGAAACCAGAGTTAGCAAGATTGCCTCATTGTAGCAGTTCATACCTCATGATTTTGATCTCGGCGACTATGGGACTTCAAGCTTTCCCGTTGTCGTTGTGCATAGGATAGGAATTTTAGATATACGGATCCTCAATACCGATAGACATGCCGGGAACCCGCCGGTCAAGAAGCTCGATAGGATTGAGAGGTTTGGTAAGGTAGAGCTCATACCCATTGATCATGGCCTTTTCCTTCCCGAGACTTTGGAGGATCCATACTTTGAGTTGATCCATTGGCCGCAAGCATCAATTTCGTTCTCCGAGGATGAACTTGAGTATATCGGTAGTCTTGACCCTTTCCAAGATTCCGATATGCTTCGGAGAGAGCTTCCAATGATTCGAGAGGCATGCCTCGTAGTCTTGGTTGTTTGTATAATTTTCCTCAAGGAAGGAGTAGCTTTTGGTCCGTGTCTTGTTGAGATTGGTGAGATGATGAGCGAGAGAGTTTCGAGGCCACGAAGAGGAGCCCAGTGAACTTGAGTCGGTATGCATCAAGGCAAGGGGTCTCGCTAGAGGAGATGGAATATCTTGTTGATAAGGTGAAACCGGAAGACAATGAGGAGTTACATTTGACTTCTAATATGGGAGATAAATTAGAAATAAGGCATCTTTGTTTTATGTCCTAAGGTAAAAATGTGCGAAATCCACTTTCCAAGCTAGAGGAGAGTGCGGAGGGAGAGGCGGACACCGAGGGGGAGGAATTGAATTTAAGCACGGATGAATATGTTGACTCCTCACAAGACAAGGTTACAACTCGTTTTAAGCATGTCCATGTTATTAAAAAAAAAGGTGGTGGTGAGAAGAGTTGGCTATACGGGGGTGAAATACGAAGAAGTTATTTGGTCGGTACTTCTTTCGAAAATGTGAGTGTTAATGAGCGACTTCCCGCAAGCATGAGTTTTGTGAAGCTATCCGATCCGGATGAAGGGGAGTGGGTTCGATTTCTTGAGAAATTCAAGAAATTGTTATATCCAAACTTTTGCTAATCGTGAATGTGGAGGTGCTAGTTAGAGGCAAAGACAGAGGCTTGGAACTTCCCGCCAATTTTGAGGAGGTTCGTTACCGAATATTAAAGATGTTGGAAAAAAGTAGTTAAAGATAGGGGAATGAGAGATAGGAATGTAATTTTAGTTAAAAAATTCAATGCCGAGAATGATGGACTTCGTTCACGATTGGGAGTTTCGCTTGGAATTGTTATAACTTTTTATAAGATAAAATCTCATCATCACTCGTTGGAGGTGAGAACATCTTTTTTCTTTATCTCTATTAGTAGTTCTTACGTGGCCCGCTCCTCCCCCCGTGGTGCTCCATGTTCAATCACTCGCTCTAAGCGTTGAATTTAATAAAATAGAGTGCGGGAAAGAACAAGGCACTTGTATAGGCATAGTTATCTTGTTGCAGGTGAAACCTAGCTAAGAGTACTTATTGTTATATTGATCTTACAATATGCTTTTGTCTTACAATGTAAGATGAGAATGTAATGGCTATCAAGTTATGTGATTACCTTGGTTTAATTTTGGCGAGCTTGAACACCTCTTGTTTTGAGGTCAATAAACATAAGATGCAAATGAGTGATTTGAGCAATTTCAATGTTTTGTCAACTGTTAGCAGCTTTCTCTAATATAAATTTTGATTTTCAGCGAGGTTGACATTGAATAATAACGATCCTTGGCTTGGTTGTTTCGTTGTTTTGGGCTATTCATATCAGCTTCTTTTGTTAATACAAGTCTTAGTTATAGTTTGAATCGATCACAGACCTCCTTGTCTAGAATATTAATGGGCTGATTGTCATTAATCACCATCTTGACAATAGCCATCATGCTCGTGGTACGGAATGGAAACTTAAACGGACGCATTTGCTAAAATGAGGGTTGTGGTTGATGATGACATTTGTAGTCCTACGTCTTGTGATTTCTTACGTGTTAATGCCCGGTGAGAAAGTAAGGATGTATTGCTCGTTTTGGTTCGAAATTAGTCAATGAAGTCGAAGGATATGGGTGTGGGTTATTTGTACTTTTCTCTTGTAATCCTAGCCTAGTATCATGGATTTGGCTTGTCTCGAGCTATTGTACCGGCATTTGGTTTACTTCTTTTTTAAATCAAATCAAATTAGTTTTTTTTTTCATATAAAGTTGTCAAGAAAGAAAAATATACACAAAAGATATAAGAATTCTTTGTATTGCTTCGTCTATAATTTTAGGATTACACTTTCTTAGATTTCCGGATGTCTTGGCCTAATAAAGGCTTCAACTATTTATAGTCTTCCACCTCTTTAATGGATGGATATGATCTATTTGATTTAATGGCTATAATTGATTCTCTAGAATTATCATATCTAGATATTTACAAAAAAAACTATCTAGATATGTACAAGTTAGAATAATGAAGGACTTTCTAGAATTCTCTAGGGTATGTTTAGATTTCTCTTATATATTCTAAAGGCTTCTCCATTACTCCGTAGTTTTCTAGAGGTCGTCAAACTTATCTAGCATTCCCAATTGGCTTTAAGAAACATCTCTCTTTCCAACGAAGTGTAACATTCTCTTCCACTTAATTTGGCGACGTCCTCGCAGACTTGTCTTCATTATACTTTTCCATCTTCCGAGCGAATTGTCACAAGGCTTCAATTGGTTCTCAACTAGTCTTGTTGTCACAACAAGGAAAATGGCAATTAGCGACGGAAAAATCCATCTCTAATTAAAAAAAAATTCATTGCTACACACTTTTTGCGATAGATTTATGACGACACAAATTTCGTTGCTAAAACGTTGTCGCTAACCCTAACGACCGAAGAAACATATCCTTCGTTAATTAGCGACGAAACTATCATTGCTAAAACACTAAATTCTCGTTGCTAATGGATCGATAGTCCAAGAATTTTAACATCACTATTTCGCCTTGAAGTCCGTCGCTAAGTGTGTTTATTGTTATTTCATCATTATAGTTGTCGCTAATTTCCAATGCCAATCCGTTGCTAAGTTTATTGATTTTATTTTTTTAATTGAAGATTTTGGTTTTTTTAAAAAAAATTATGATATTATTGGTAGTAATTAACGATTAGGAAAAAAAACACATTATTAAAATTTAATTTTTTATTGGAAATAAATTTAAATTAATATTAACAAAAAAATATTTGTTAGTATGTTAAAAAAAAGGAAAAAAAATAAAAAAATGAAATGTCACTCATTCCGATCATCCGATCCCCTCTCCTTATCATGTGGCCCAGTGAGAGGGACGATGAAGTCCCGATTGATGGACTTATCTACAAGCAATTTGGACGTCCGCATTAGCCTAGTCAACATCAAGGTAAATGAGTCATGCCGAGACTCTAACCCTTGTATGGAACTCTGTCGCTGCAAAATAATGTTTTGTAGCTCACCTAGTCTAGTCCGTATCCCCCGTATCATTTTTTTCGCCTCCAAGTATCGCTTCCGAACCTCCTCATTAGAAATATCGTTAGCATAATGAGACGACATGAGGATGAGCCGGTGTCATTTGACCGAGACGGATAATACGACACTCGTGTGCCTAAACCATATACCATCTTCTTTTTCTCCCATTATTGGCTCGAGGTATATGACATTATTGTCAACCTCCGGCTTTAGGATTCCTTCTACTTGCTACATCATAATAGTTTCCTATATGAGCTCTTCAACATGCTTTTACATAATTGAAATAATTATAAATTTAAAAGATTAAAATAAATTTTATATTATATTTGCATATATAAAATTTAAAAATTAAAAACACTTACTATTGTATTCCGGGCATGTAGATCGAAGAAAGAACCATCTTGCTCGCTTATGAGTGGTCTCAAACGTACTCAAAAATTGTTGACTCACACTCCAATTTTGCCTCCCGAAAAAAAAATAACAAACAATATAAGATGCAAATTAAAAATTTTCTTAAACATTAGTTAACAATATAAGATATGATTTACCAAGCAGACCTCTTCCAAAGAGATGGACCCCCTATATGCTTGGAAGTGGCCCATAACCGTGGCACCTGGTCTTTGACATCCGATTCCACAACGCTTGTTTTCAATGAGCCTTGCGATCGTGTCTAGCAAAATCTTGATGCCACGAGTTCCGTACCTCCTACCTAATAAAATGAGGTCGTTCATACATCGAACCATGGATGTAGATGAAGTTGGAGTAAGTGCTTCTTTATAGAGCCTCCCAATGTTCTCTCGGCAATCACCTCGATGGTCGATCTCAATAAAAATATTTCTACATGAATTAAATAATTTAATATTAACTACTTAATTTAATGCTAAATTAATATTTTAAATATAATAAAAAAAATTAATAATAAGTTACCCTAAATTCACTAAAGTAGTATTGTTTAGTTAGATCCGTGACAAACTTCCGTCGACCCACCGATGTCCAATCGTTGTTTGAAAATCTTGGTTATCTTGTGAAATAATCTCTACTAGACAAACTAAAACCGTTGAACATCACAAAAAAAATAGTAAATAATTTTTGAAATGATATATTAAAATAAAAATCATACCATCGTTCTTAAAAAATTACATACTCGTTTGTGAATGACGAAATAATCCATCGACTCGGATGAGCCTCGGGAGCTCTCTAGAATCGCAAATACATAAGTGGAAATGGAACCTACTACGATTGGTGCGGGAACCTCTCGTTGTCAATGCAGAACCTCTATTCTCGATGCAACGAACTCTATTTCTCTCGCGAGAACCTCTATGGCCGGAGACGTTGTAGATTTGCCGGCTCTGTGGGAGGAAAAAGAAGAATGTCCATGGCCTCGAGTGTCGAGGTACCCACATACAACGCTCGAGCAGAAATCCCCGATCGACACTCGGTTGGCAATCCTTGTCGACTATCGTCAACCGGGGATGCACGTCCATGACTACTAGAATGTGATTTCGAAGCGATTGTTAGGGGTCGACCCAAACCTCGTGGCATAGTCGAATAATATAACCTAAGACAATTAAACAAAAAATCAATATTAATTAACAAAATACAATATTATAATCAAAATTTATATAATTAATTTAATAATAAATTCAACTAAACGTAATAAAATTAATTCTAATTCAAAATTTTACTAAATTTTAAATATCGATATTAATTAAAAAAATACAATATTACAATAAAAATTTATCTAATTAGTTTAATAATAAATTCAACTAAACATAAAAAAATTATTTCTAATTAAAATTTTTACTAAATTTTAAATATCGATATTAATTAACAAATGACAATATTATAATAAAAATTTATCTAATTAATTTAATAATAAATTCAACTAAACGCAATAAAATTATTTCTAATTCAAAAACTTACTAAATTTTAAATATCGATATTAATTAACAAATTACAATATTATAATCAAAATTTATCTAATTAATTTAATAATAAATTCAACTAAACGTAATAAAATTATTTCCAATTCAAATGTTTAATAAATTTTAAATTTCGATATTAATTAACAAATTACAATATTATAATCAAAATTTATCTAATTAATTTAATAATAAAGATAATAAAGATAATAAAATTAACTCTAATTCAAACGTTTACTAAATTGTAAATATCAAAACCTAATTAATAAAAATGACTATATTTATATTAGCCCTAATTCAAACCCAATTAAATATTAAATATCAATTAATTAACCAATTGGACTATAATTAACATTAAAAATCAATCAATCAATTCAAATAATCATAATTAAATTAATTGTATATCAAATTAACTTAATTATATTGATCCTTACTAATTATAATTTTAATCCTAATTGAAATGTTAATTATATTTTAAAATAAAAACCAATAAATTAATAATTAATATTAACCTAACAATTAACGAAAAAATAAAAATAAAAAAATAGCAACTTAACAAATTAATAATTGATTAACAAAATTTTAACCTACTAATTAATGAAAAAGCTAACAATTAATAAAATTAACTTAATAACTAACCACATTAATTTAATTAAAAAAATAAAAGATCTA